GTGATCCTTACCCGTCTCTGGCCACACGTCCAGCATAAACAGCCGCCATCCGAGGAAGGCAGGGAGGGAGGAGATCAGCTGGGGACCCCATGCGGGTGGGCAGGATTTTTAAACATGATTCTACTTTAACAATTTTACAGGATCCATGGAATGAAATATTTGTATTGGATACATGCAAGTTGTTCTCTACTTTCAACTAGTCACATTCCTTGGAGCAGAGTCCATTGCTTTTGTATAATTACATTTATTCAAATAATTATTCTTTATTCTTCAAATAAAGAATCTCCCATATGTTAGCCTCAATAAAATGGGCTGACTCAGTGGGCTCAAACAGCAATGACAGGTGAGGATGGTGTAAGAATGGGCAGTGTTTTGTTCTACTGTGCAGAGTCACTATGAGTCGGAACCGATCTGACAGCACCTACCTGTGTGGCACTGCAGGAAAAGCACTAGATTACTAACTAAAAGGTCGGCAGTTCCCACCACCAGCTGCTTCTTGGAAATCCTATATAGGGTCACTATGAGTCAGAACCAACTTGATGGCACACAACCACCACCACCTGGAACGGAAAGCTCACCTTCCATCACGGCTTGCGCTTATTCTTCAGACTCCAGCCTGGATGCCAGCTCTTCAATTAGTTTTCTTTGAATCCTTAAATCAAGCTAGTAATCTCTTCCATAGCAGCCTGTTATTATTTCTATTACAGAATTTCTCAGTTTTACAATGAAAGATTTACTTATCCATTTCCCACATTAGAAACAGCTTTAAGTTAAGGTCTGTGTGATTCATGTCTGTATTCCTAATATTTGGCTCAGAGTTGAGTTGGTAGTTTGGTGACGAAAACATAGCAAGGGCATCCAAGATGGGAGAATGGGAATAGGGCTTTGTAATTAGCTCAATTAAGTGCTGGACATTAACCACCTAATTAAGATTAAGTTCCGCAGTTCAAAAACACCAGCTGCTCAGCAGGAGAAAGATTGGACTGCCTGCTTCCATAAATATTTACAGCCTTGGAAACACTACAGAACATTCCTACACTGTCCTATATGGTCATTATGAGACGGAATCAACTCAGCAGCAACTAGTTTAATCAGTCAGATCAATGCTCAAATCCAGTTTTGTCTGCCAATCGATAACAGTAGTACTACAGTCAAATACTTTGTAGACATGAGGAGACATTTTTTGAATAAGCACATTATGGTCTCTTTTCTTCCAGTTAGCTATAAGACATCAGAAAAGTTACTTCTATTTGTGGCTCAGATTCTTTATCCCTGAATCAAGAATAAAAAAGTACCTGCCTCATAGTATGTTTGTTAGGATTACTGGGGTAAAATGAGTTTTCATCACCGTGCCTCACACATGCAAGCAGCAAATAAATGTTAACTGTTATTATTCCTGGAACTGTGGTCTTGACATAGTGATTCATTGGTCGAATCAGTTTGATCGCTGGACTGCTAACCATAAGATCAGCAGTTCGAATTATCAGTCACTCAGTGGGAGAAAGATTTATAGCTTCAGAAATCCTATACAGGGTTGCTATGAGTCAGAACCAACTTGATGGTACATCACCACCACCTAGAATGGGGAGTCCACCACCATCACCCATAGTACTTGACTCTTCCAATAAAGAAAATAAGATTGTGATTGACTTGCACTTGATCTTCCTTTATGAGCAGAGTGGCACTCATTTATTTCTTCATTCACATGATAAAATCACTGATAGAAATAAAAGCTATGACAAAAGATCATCAAATAGTGTCTGAAATGCTGTTGTTAAGTGCCATCGAGTCATTTCTAACTCACAGCGATCCTGTATAGGGTTTCTGAGGTTGTAAATCTTTATGGGAGCAGAACGTCTCATCTTTCTATGGCGGACCTGTGGTAGTTTCAAACTGCTTACCAAGAGATTAGCAGCCTGACTCATAACCACTATGCTACCAGAGCTCCTATAATATACTATAAAATAATATAAATATGGAGTTCTGGTTTGGTGCTGTAAGATAAGCACTGGACTGCTAACCACAAGGTTGGGGGTTCAAACCCACCAGCCACTCCCTGGAAACCCTATACAGGGTCACTATGAGTTGGAACCGACCTGACTGATACTTAACAACAGCAATATAATTATAATGGTGGTCCACTCTACCAGGTATTGGTTGCTAGTTACAAAACCCCCAGTTTTTGTAAAATGAGGACAAATTAGTAGCTGGATGTTGCAAGGAATAAACGAAATTATGTAGGGAAGACCTTAGCACAGCTCCAAAACATAGCTTGTTGTTGTTATTAAGTGCTGTTGAGTTGGTTCAGAATAATAGAGACTCTGTAGAGGGTTTCTAAGGAGTGGCTGGTGAATTTGAACCACTGTCCTTGCAGTTCAAACTGACCTTATGGTCCAGTGCTTATCCTACAGCCCATATCAGGACTCCCAGGACTCTGACATAGCTAGCGGTCACTAAATGAGAACCTACCAACCACATTCCAAGCTTCCTGATTATTGTGGTTATACAGTGTAGTGATTAAGAGTACAGGACAGACTGGGGGAGGCCTGGGTTCATACCTCAGTTCAACCATGGTTTGGCTGGGTACTACTGGGGAAATCATTTTACTTCATCTCAGTCTTTTTTAATTCAAGAAAAAGAAAAAAGATATTATCTCTTAAAAATGAACTAATAATCCAGGTAAAGATTTAGCGCAGTTCTTGGGGTGCATGTTTAAGTGGTCAATATTAGCTGCTATCACTTCAGTTATATTGTTTTCAATGACTGATACTGCCAGTTTTACAGCTATTAAGCTGCCTTTACCAATCATCCTTCATTTATGCCCAAACGGAATATCCAAAAGAAATTCACACCAGACAAAAGCAATGTACAGATGTTACTGTCAGAGCAGGCTTCCAGGACTTGAGGTAGCATCCCTCCTCACCCTAATCCTTAACATGCTTTCGTTTCTCCACTATATCCCCATTGCAAGTAAGCTCCGTGGGCAGGAACTTTGCTTCACTCACTGCAGTATCATTAGCATCCTGAACGGACAGTACTGTTGTAACTATTTGCTATGGAGTGATTTCAACATGTTGTTAAGTGCCAGCAGTCGGTTCTGACTCATAGCGTCAGACCTGGGAGTAGCTAGTGGGCTTGAACTTGCAGACCTTAGGGTTAGCAATTCAGTGCTTATCCTACAGCACCACACCAGTACTCCATGGCAAGTGGTGGTGGTGGTGTGTCGTGGAGTCGATTCTGACTCAAAGAGAACCTGTGTAGCGTTTCCAAGAAGCTCCTGGTTGGTTTGAACCGTAAAGTTTGAGGATAACAGTCCAGTGCTTATCCTAGGCGCCACAGAAGGATTCAATGGCAAATTGTTAAGTGCTATAGAATCAGTTTTGACTCATAGAGCGACCCGGTATAGGGTTTCCCAGGAGTGGCAAGTGGATCCTGCGTTTCAAACTGACATTGCAATGAAGTGTTTTTCTTACAGCGCCACACTAGGACGCCCCAAGGCAAGTTGTTGTTGCTATTGTTGGTAAGTGCCGAGGGTTTCCAAGGAGCGGCTGGTGAGCTTGAACCACAGACCTTGCAGTTCAAACGGCTTTGCAGTCTGACGCATTAACCCACAGCGCCACACCAGGGCAAGTACTAAGCACAATATATATTTGAGTATATCAATCAATTCAATGTGTGCCCTTTACCAGCCCTAAAATCGCCTCCTTTTGGCCTTGATGAAGAGAACCGAAAGAATCAAGGAGCGTGAAAGCGTCTCCCGTCCCCCAGCTCCTTCCCCGTACGCACCAGAAGGGTCGTTGAATCGTTTCAGGGGCGCTTTAGGAAACGACATGCTGACAGTCAACTCCACTATCCAAGGCTCGCTGCGATCCTCCTCAAACCGCCTGCAGAAGGTAGCAAACCACTCACTTGAAATTCAAACCTCTCCGCACATTCCCCGCCCACACCGACATCAGCCAATTGGAACACCAAAACTCTGGTGTATGCCAATCCTGCACGGGAGCGCCAACAGAGCATGCGCACACTACTCGCCTGGATCCAATTAAGTGGCCTCTGAGTTGAGGCTATAAGCCAATAGGAAGTTGCGATTGCCTCCCCCCCACCCCCACCCCCCCGACGCATAGTTTCTGACATATTTCTATTTGACCTAAGCAGTATTTGCACAAGCGCATTTCACATCTGAGAAGTTGAAAAGTTGCATTTAGAAGTCAGATAGTGAGAGTCATATAGGGTTTCTATTTCATTGGTTCCAACCCTCTCCCACTATTCTGGGCTTCAGTTGTTTTATACTTTCAGTTGTTGTCAAGTATCGCGAGTCGGTTCAGACATAATAGCAGCCACTTAGAGCGTTTCCGGGAACGGCTGATATGTTGTTGTTAAGTGCCATCGAGTCTATTCCGACTCATGGCGACCCTGTATAGGGTTTCCAAAGAGTGGCTGGTGGGTTTGAACCGCCAACATTGTGGTACAGCGCATTATCCTGCAGCGCCACAACAGGGAAAAACAACACACGCGAGACTCACGCTAGGGTTCCTGCGCATGTGCGAGCGGTGAGGCCAGGATGTATCTTGCGCGCGTGCGCTCCGGTCGCTGGGTGCGGTAGCCTCCCGGAGGCTACTCGAGTATGTCTGCTCCGTTTGAGGAACGTAGTGGAGTGGTTCCTTGCGGGACGCCGTGGGGTCAGTGGTACCAGACCCTGGAGGAGGTGTTCATTGAAGTTCAAGTGCCACCAGGCACTCGTGCCCAGGATATCCAGTGCGACCTGCGTAGCCGGCATGTGGCGCTGGCCGTGGGTGGCCGCGAGATCCTCAAGGTAGCGGCCGGTCTTGGCTTGTTCTCAGTATCTTTTTCCCCGCCTCACAAAATTCCCAAATCCTAAGCGTCATCACTTTCGTGGAAAGACTTTTGGACTGCTCTGTAGCTACTCTGATTGAGAGCGTTAACATTGGCCTGATTTGGGTCTGGTCGGAGCCTTCAGAGCTACTTCAGAGTTGAAGAGCCATACTTTCCTGACTTTATTTCAAAGCAGATATTGGTGTCTTGTTTCTCTGAGGGTATTCAGCTGAAAACAGATGAACTATGTCATTAAAAATCCACTGCCATCGATTTCGACTCATAGCGAGTCTGAGTAGAGTTCCCTGGGCTGTAAATCTGCTGGACTCTCTTTCTCCCAGGGAATGGCTGCTGCTGTGTGTGCAGTTGAGTCGGTTTCGACCCAAAGCGACCATGTATAGGGTTTCCGAGGAGCGGATGGTGAGTTTGAACCGCCGACCTTGAGGTTCACACCCACTTTGCTGCCCAGTACTTTAACCCACAGCAACACACCAGGAGTAGCTTTTGGGTTTGAGTTACCAATGCGTTTCCGACAGCGCCAGCAGACCTCCTAGGTTATTAAAGCAATAAATATCCTACAGAACTTTCTAGCAGGCACTGGTCTAGGACCTGGGAGTCTAACTGTGAGCGAGGCAGATACGGTTTCTACACTGAAATGGTTGTTGTTAAGTGCCGTCGAGTCGGTTCCGACCCATAGCGACCCTGTACAGGGTTTCCGAGGGTGTTAAATAGCTGTTTTTAATCTAGTATACTTTATTGTACAAAGTATACAACATGGTAGCGTAATGGTTACGAATCGGGCTGTGAACCTAAAGGTCAGCGGTTCGAAACTACCAGCCGCTCCGCGGGAGAAAGATGAGGCTTTCTACTCCCGTAAGGATTTACACCCTCGGAAACCCTGTACCCTCGCTATGGGTCGGAACCGACTCGACGGCACTTAACAATAACAACATACAACAAAGTATAATAGTAAAAACTATAATTAAAAGACAGGTTGTTGGATGAGGCTTCAGAGACGATGACAGGTAATTTTCTTAGCTGAAAAATTTTAATTCCTGCATGGTTATAGAGTGATCACACTGTACAGAAGGCATGTGTAAACAATCATCAATCCCCTTCCCTTTACTTATTAATGCCCTGTGAAACTAGAATCCCATTTTTCTTTGTGGTTTAAAAAGTTGAAGTTTGGATACCTTAGATTGGTTGTCCACATGTCTGATGACAGTTCAGTGTAATGGTGATGAGGGGAAGGGGACGGACTAGTTGCTGGGCCATCTGGCTCCCCAGTTTTCTAGTTTTGTAGGCTTTAGGCAAGAGACTCGGAATTTCTGTCTGTTTCTCCATTAAAGGGTACCTTTCTCATGGATTTTTGTGACCATAACATGATAGCCCTATGAAGAGCTTGGAATAGTGCCTTGTAGGTAGTAAGTACACACTTCATGTCAGCTACTACTAGTTTACATGGAAGTGTTTGATTGTATCAGAGAGAAAGACATTGTAAGCCAACTTGAAACTTAAACGTCTTTTTGAATAGGGCAGTTTATTGTTTCCTAGACCACCAGCTGGAGTACAGCAAATATGTCGATTCAAACCTAACAACTGTTCTTCAAAAACCCAGATGTCTATGAATGAATCAGGAATGCAGAGGAAGGAAACCGTAGTTTTCAAATTTATTCTAGTAATTCTAATAACTGGGAATTTAGTGATAACTCGGGAATTTTAGATGTCCATTCAAGGAGCTCTGGTAATGTGGTGGTTACAAGTCAGGCTGCTAACCTCACAGTCAGCAGTTTGAAACTACCAGTGGTTCCACAGAAGAAAGATGAGCGTTCTGCTCCCTTAAAGATTTACAGCCTTGTAAACCCTATGAATGATCACTTTGAGTCAGAACCAACTCCACAGCACATAACCACCAACACCATTTAAACCAGTTGGATGCTTGTTTTTTTCTCACTAGTACTGACTTATTTAAAAATATGATTTTCTTTTTGTTACCAAATTAAAATGGATTTTAGAGTGTCCATACTCATAAGCTTACATTTTGCATATTTCTTTTTTAAAACAGGAATTCCAGAAAGATCAGTAACAGCTAGCCTGATGTATTTTTATTTTTTAAAAAATGTGAAATTACCCCTCGAAGAGATTGACAGTTTTTAAAAGTGTATTTTAAATACAGCATTTCTTCTTAGTTTAAGCAGTAGATTCCTTTTTGTAGTTAATTTTAATTGGTAAAATTAAAACATTTCTATATTTACTTCACATTTGACTAATTAGTGACCAAAGTGTGTCTACATTTAAGGAGCCATAATCTTTCTAGGGAGCACATATTGTTTGGCAAAATCTTCCAAGCAGTGTGAAAGAGGCTCCATTTCACCTGCTTAGATAACATTTAGAATTATTGTTGTTAACTGCTGTTGAGTTGACTCTGACCCATAGCGACCCTGTATAGGGTTTCCATGGAGCAGCTGGTGAGTTTGAACTGCCAACCTTGCAGTTAAAACGGCTTTGCAGTCTGATGCGTTAACCCACAGCACCACATTAGAATTGAGCACCTATAAATGTACGGTGGGGCTGGTAGTATGCTGTTGATTCGGTTCCAGCTCAGCAATCCTGTGTAGGGTTTCTGAGGTTGTAAATCTTTACAGGAGCAAAAAGCTTCGTCTTTCTCCTGTAGAGCTACTGGTGGATTTGAACCTTTGCCCTTGCGGTTTAACAGCCTATTGTGTAACCCACTACATTTCCAGGGTAACCCCCCGTTTTGTTTTTAAATTAAATGTATAATAATATGAAATTTGATCTTCCTATTCTAACTAAAACAATTATATATGGATTAAGTAGGAAATTGGACTTCTGGTGTGGCACTGTGGATCAGCACTGGACTGCGGACCACAAGGTCGGTAGTTCAAATCCACCAGTTGCTCCTTGGAAACCCTATGCAGTGTTGCTGTGAGTTGGAATCAACTCCACTGCACTTAACAACAACAAAGTAGAAAAATAGGTTGTCTTAAATCGTGTGTTTTATAAAAATTGATGAAATGTTGTATTTAGTGTCTTATATATTTGTTTTTTCAGGGAAAACTCTTTGATTCTACAATAGCTGATGAAGGAACATGGACATTGGGTAAGGGTAATTTATGATACTTCATAGGATCATTTTTTAAAAATATTTTCTTAAGACTTAGTATCTATCATTCTTTATTATTAGGTTCTTTTGTCTTTATATAGTTACAGAAATATGTTGAAAACAACTATATATCAGGATTACATAATTCTAGCAATGATTGTGAAGTTGGCCCAGGACCAGACAATGTTATGTTCTGTTTGCATAGGATCACTATGAGTCGGTACCAACTCTATGGTACCTAATAACAACAAATGAACGTAAATTTTTCAATTTGTGATTTTTTTGTTGTTGTTGTTTAGAAGACAGGAAAATGATCCGTATTGTTCTTACAAAGACAAAGAGAGATGCAGCAAATTGCTGGACTTCTCTTCTAGAATCTGAGTATGCAGCTGATCCTTGGGTACAAGACCAAATGCAGAGAAAACTTACATTGGAAAGATTCCAGAAAGAAGTAAGTCAAATGAGTATTTGTGAAATCATAGAACAGTTATTATACCTACTTGTCTCTTATTAATTATCTCGGTATCTAACATTTCACATTTATGATAATAGTAAAAATTCTTCCAACTGTTTTGTGCATTGGAGTCCTGGTGTGGCACTGTAGGATAAGTACTCCACCTCAAGGTCTGTTTGAACCAAAAGGTCAGTGGTTCAAATTCACCAGCTGTGCCTCATACAGGGTCGCTATGAGTCTCGATGGCACTTAACAACAACATTTTGTGTATTATTGACATACTCTGACAGTAACTAATGCCTGGGTTATTATTCTCAGTGGTTTGGCATTTATATAGTAATATGAGTCGGAACATAACAACATCATAACTTAGCAGTTATGTAATGATGTTGCCCTCTTCTATTTTGTAATTTTATTGGGTCATCTTTCATATCTTCATAATGACAATTTTTGTATAATTATCTGGTCTTTGGAATCTAATCATGTCAATAAATGAGGAGTAGGTGTGTTTCAACTTAAAAATCCAATGTGGGCATGAAAAGTTACAAAAAAATTTTAGAGGCGATCTTTTTAAATTAAATGATCAGAAAACTGGCTGGCCTTTCTATGTATATCCACCACTGCCATCAAGTCATTTCTTACTCTGTCTGTAAGGTTATGAAGTTGCACATCTTTATAGGAACAGAAAGCCTCATCTTTCTCTCACATCTGGTGGGTTTGAACCCCCAACTTTGTGGTTAGCAGTCTAATGCTTATCCTATAGCACTATTTGATTATTTTTTCTTCAGATCCACTTGGATTTATTTATACTGCCAAGTTATGATTCATTTATTATATGAAAGTAATACACGAATTGTTGCTGTTTTAGGTGTCATAGAGTTCTTTCCAACTCTTAGCAGCTCTATTCACAACGGAATGAAACACTGCCCGGTCCGATCCTCACTATTGTTACATTTGAGAGCCCACTGCTGCTGCCACACAAACATACTAATGAAAAAATGAATTAGTGACTTAACATAGTCTAAAATGTGAAAGGCCCCTTCACCAACTAACATTCCTGCATTTTTTCATTTCTATTGGTTTTTGTTCTTCTTTATGTAAATGAGGGATCCCACTGTATATATTATTCATTGTTCAGCTTTTTTACTTAATAGTAAATCTTGGGTTTATTTTCATGTTAGTTCGTATAGATGAAGCTTTTGTAACTGTTTTGGAGTATTCCCTAGATTGGATATTAACTATTTAGCTATTCTCTTTTGATATGATTTAGATTTATTTTTCTCTATTTCAAACAGAACTTATGTTTTTATTTCTGTGAAATTGTTCAAGTATTTCTCCAAGATAGATGTGTAAGGAGTGGAATTAGCAATTCTAAAGTTTTAGTGAATAATTTCCATTTTGTTGTTGTTAAGTACCATATTGTCAGTTCCACTCATAGCGACTCTGCAGAGGGTTTCTGAGAAGCTGCTAGTGGGTTTGAACTATTAACCTTGTGGCTTGAAGTCCAGTGTTTATCCTACAGCGCCACACCAGGAGTATGCGCTGCTGATTCTTACTGAATGTTTATCTCTAACCTGAACTGTTCTCCTGAACTTTGGACTTAATCGTCAGTTGTCTAGTGGACACTCCACTTGGCTACTTAACAGACATATCAACATGTCTAGGAGCTCTGGTAGTGTAGTGGTTATGAGCTGGGCTGCTAACCTTAATGTCTGCAGTTCAAAACTACTAGCTGTTCTGCGGGAGAAAGATGAAGTGTTCTGCTCCCATAAAGAGTTACAGCCTCGGAAACCCTCTGCAGGGTTGCAATGAATCAGAACCGACTCCTCGGCACATAACCACCACCACCACCATCAACATGTTTAAAATGAACTCCCTAATTTTCCTCCAAAATGTGTTCTACTTCTTGCCATCCCTATCTCAGTTAATAGAAACGCTAGTTGCTCAGACTTAAAAGAACTTGGGAACCATTCTTGATTTCTGTTTTTCTGTCAACTCCATCTAGTTTGTCAGGAAGTCTTACTGGCACTACTTCCCAAACATGTTCAGAATTTGACCCCTTCTCACCAGTAACATGACTATCACTCTGTTCTGTGCCACCTCTAATCTCTTTTCTAGATTGCCTAGGTTACCACCGTAACAATGTAATTACTCTCCCTGCTTCTACTCCTTCTTAGGTAGAATCTAAACATAACAGTCAGGGCAATTCTTTAAAACTGTAAGTTAGGTCCTGTCGCTTTTTAGAATTAAAAATCAGTCCCCTTTCATGCTAGTAAAAAGCCACCTGTCCCCGTGTTGATTTTCCTAATTTTGTTCCCTCAGTCATTGTGCACTAGCCATACTGGTCTGTTTGCCATTACTTAAGCATGCTAAGCTATTGCTTTCCAATCCTTCTAACTGGAACATTCTTTCCCCAAAGATCTGCTTGATTAACACCTTCACTGTTTTCAAGTTATTGTTGACTGAAGCTTATCTTCATCATCCTATTTAACGTTATAATCTTCTCCCCACTTCTCTTAATCTCTCTTAATTTTTGTTTTATAGCACTTTTTGTTGTTATTAAGTGCCATCAAGTTGGTTCCAACTCATAGAGACCCTGTAAGGGATTTCCGAGGAGCAGCTGGTGGGTTTAAACCGCTGACCTTTTGGTTCAAACTGACCTTTTGATCAAGTGTGTTATCCTGTAGAGCCACACCGTCTTTTAATACATCAGATCGGGGTTGGCAAATTATGACCAATGGGCCAAGTCTGTCCTATGACCTGTCATACAAAAGCTTTACTGGAGCACAGTTGTGCTCATTCTTTTGTTTTTGTTTTTCTTTTTGTCTATGGCTGTTTTCACAAAATGGCAGAGTTGCATAGTTGTGACAAAGTCTGTATGGCCCACAAAACCTAAAATATTAACTTTCTGGCTTTTTACAAAAAAGTTTCTTGACTCTTGGATGCTTCCTCTGCTAGAATGTAAGCTCCATCAGACCAGGCATCTTCATTTGTTTTGTTCCCTATTGAATTCCTGATGCCTCTTAATGTTAAGTGCTGTCGAGTAGGTTCCGACTCATAGTGACCCTATATGGGGTTTCCAAGGAGCAGCTAGTAGGTTTGAACTGCTGACCTAGTGGTTCACCGTTCAGTGTTGAGGAGTCCTGTCCAGATGCCACAGCACAAATAATTTGTTAAGTGCCATTGACTCAGATCTTGTATAGGGTTTTTGAGGAGCATCTGGTGGGTTTGAACCACAGACCTTGTGGTTAGCAGTCCAGTGCTTATCCTATAGCACCACATCAGGGAGATCAAGAAATGTTTGTTGAATAAACCCAATTACTACTATTCAGAAAAACTGAAGTCTGAGACAGTATGACATAGTGGTAAAGATATCAGGATCTAGAACCATGCTAGTCAAATCCCAGGCCCCTAGTAAATTTGTGACCTTGGTCAAATTCCTTAATTTCATCTACAGTGATAGCACTTTATAGCATTGTTGAAAGGAATAAATGTGTTTTACGTATAGACCTTTGAATTCTGCCTGGAATCCAGTATGTTCTCAAAAATATTATCTATTAAAAATCTGCTTATATAGTGATATTAAAACATGTATTTTCAACTCCATGCTTCCCAGTGTACCAGTGTAATGTCCATATAAATTTTTAAGTATTTATAAATCTGAAAGTTATAAAATATCTCATTGTTCTAAATTCATTTCAGAGATTATAGTAACGTATAATTATTGGTTGTTTAGATTTTCTTCTTTGTTCATTTGCCTGTGTCTTTTTATCATTTTTCTTTTGGGTTACTTTTATTTTACTTTATATTTATTGTATTGTAATTTTTTTCATATCTTTTAGAATCCTGGTTTTGACTTCAGTGGAGCAGAAATCTCAGGAAACTACACTAAAGGTGGACCAGATTTCTCAAATCTTGAGAAATAACTGCTATATGTTTTGTTTTTTTTTTCGTTGTAGTCCATGGATCTTTGCAAATGTTGCCAACCTAATCAAAGAAGCAGCTTATGTGCTAGAAGAAAATGTGGATGCCTACAGTTAACAAACTGCAAAATACATTTTTAAATGGTTTTACATTTTGCATTCAAATATGGTTTTTATAGGAAACATCTTAATAATGTGATAACCATTCTGTGGATACATGGTAACCTTTTTGGCCTTATTTTTGCTTAGCATGAAGTTTTACATGCTATGTTTTACTATTTCATATTTAACCTATCTTTTTAATATGAAAGAAAACCATGAGGGTATAGATCATGTGAAATGGCAGGGTGCTGTCAGAGAAAATTAAGTTTCTTTCAATAAGTGGAATGCAGGTATAACAATCAATAAACTTTTCTAAATAGGAATTGTGTACCCCTTTGTCTAAGTATGTTAGTTTACAATGGAATTTGTTCTATAGAAAGAAAAAAAAATTAAGGAACAAAAATTTCAACAAAGTATTTTGATTAAGTTAATTTTAAAAGTTAAAATGTCTGTGTTATTCCACGAGTTGTTGTTAAATGGCATCAAGTCAATTCTGACTCATAGCGACCCTGTATAGGGTTTCCAAGGAGTGGGTGGTGGGTTTAACCTATTGACCTTGTGATTAGCAGTCCATTGCTTATCCATCAGTGCCACACCGGGTCTCCATGAGAGATTAGTCATACATCAGAAAAATGAAAAAGCAGATAAAAGCCTAAAAACAGAGTAATAAGTAATACAAGAAAAGCAATAGCTAAATGAATATGGCTACAGGACAAAACCGTTGTAAGTCGCAAAAAGCAAATTATAGTCATTGATTGTAGGTCAGTTATGTCATTTTGGTCGTCAGTCAGCCAGACATCTAGGTAGGAAATATCTATTGGAATATTATTTAATCATTTTTATGTTCTTTTTATTTTAAATTAAAAGTTCTGAAATTTATAGAAAAGTTTCAAGTAAAGTACAGAGTTGTTTTTTTAATCTGAAACTATTTGGGATTAGTTGATGACATGATAACCCAACATCTTTGATCACTTTAGTGCTATATCCCTCAGAGGAAGACGTTCTCCTATATAACTATAAGCAAGCATTGTGGTTGTTGTTAAGTGCCATGAAGTCAATTCTAACTCATAAGTTTTCCAAAGAGTGGCTGGTGGGTTTGAACTACCAACCTTGTGGTTAGCAGTCCAGTGCTTATCGTATTTTACAACGCCACACCAGGATTCCAATGCATGCACCATCAGGAAATTAGTATTTATATGTTACCATCTAATACCTAGGACCTTCACTCCATTCAGGTTTAACCAGTTGTCCTTACACAGTTCTTTATAAAACAAAAGGGTCCAGTCAAAATCATGACTTGCTTTTAAATGTTTGGTACTTCATTTGAAGCAAGTCCTCATTTTTTTGTGACTTGGCATTTAAAATTATGAGCTAGTTTTGTAGTATATCCCTCATTTTGAGTTCATCTGATACATTGTCTTACTAAGGTTCAGGTTATGCCTTTTTTGGCAGAAGTATTATAACTGGACTTTTGGTGTACTGTAGGATCAGCACTGGACTGTGACCCTCAAGGTTGGCGGTTCAAACCCACCAGCTGCTCCTCAGAAACCATATACTGGATCGCTGTAAGTCAGAACTGACTTGATGGCACTTAACAACAACTTTAGATGAGATGTTGGATTCTTACTGCATTCTATCACAAGTTAGTAATTTTAATTTGTCTTCTTTCTGGTAGTATTTACTTAAGTGGTATCTGCCAGAATTTTCCAGTGTGAAGTTATTCTTTTTCTGTTTGTAATTAAGCCGTTTTGGGGAAGATCGTAAAGCAGAGCTTTGAACCAATTTGAACCAGTTAGTCATGGCCTGCACAGTAGAACCAGAACAGACTAATTTTTCAAAACGTGGGTGCCCTTGAATCATAAGCAGAACGGGAAAAATTACATATTTAAACACTGGGATGGAAGATTTGGAAGATGAGTAGTGAGCCCTTTCAGGAGGCTGTTGCAGTAGATACTATTGCTAGGATTCAAGCACAACATAGATTCAAAGTGGTGTGTTCAGATGCTATCTTAGCTCTGGGCACTGTTGTTTCCATCTTTGCCTGTCAAGATTTGATTGCTGTGCACTGTGCATGCTGCCCTTGTTTGCTAAGAAAGATTAACATTTCTAGCAGGGTGTGGAGCTGTCATTTTTCTCTTTCCAGTTATCCTTCTGTTACACTCTCACATTTGAAAAATCTGAGCCAATTCCAGTTTCTTGCCAGTCATGACTAAATTGGAAATAACCTGTTCAAAGCCCTATTTCAAAGTACTACCTAGGTTTTCATCAAATTTTCAATTTATTTATGTCAGTTTAGTCTCATGTTAATTACTCTGATGCTCAAAATTATTCCAGATTTGACTAGAGTTAATTACGCTAATGCTCAAAATTATTCCAGATTTGACTAGTGTTAAACCATTAGTAGATGTGACAAGTAGATCGTTATAGGTGGATTCTGTGCCCTTTTGAACATGACCCCATCATTCTTGGAACAATTTAACTTTCTGGCATAATGTATACCAGGCTCAATTTACTTTCCCTTATTTAAGGTCAGCAGTTCGAAACTACCAGCTGCTCCGCGGGAGAAAGATGAGGCTTTCTACTCCCGTAAAGATTTACACCCTTGGAAACCCTGTACAGGGTCGCTATGGGTCGGAACCGACTCGACGGCACTTAACAACAACAACAAATCTAGTGCAAGAATCAGCAATTTTTTCAAGGAATCTTGGCCCTCTTTAGTGGAGAAGTGTTTAGAAGCCAAAATCTATGTACTAGGCATGCTCATTGCTGTAAGAGTATATATACTGTGTATATTTATATCCATAATTATTTCTATAAATATTGTAAACAAGCTTACCCTAATACTTTCAGTTTTAATCCCATGAGGTTCACTTTAGTTTTATCTCTTTACAAATTCCCTTCAGACAATAGTGGGAAACCTGGTTCTTAGTATCTTTATTTCTAGGCCATCTTATCATGTGAATACCTACATCATTGCCAAGCAAGATGCTTTCCTTAACCTTCTTTGACCCTAACATCCCACTCTGAGCCATTGCAGCTTGATGCCCTTTAGCAAGATGCCTACTCTTGCTCAACTATACCCAATAACAGGATTGAATTGTTAGGGAAGAGGTTTTGTCTGTTTTAACACTTAGTTGTTTTCTCTCTTTGACATTCTTAGTTTTTGTAGTATTTTAAAAAATACAATAAAATTAACTTTCGGGAGGAGCATGTTTTTGTTACATGCCAGTGAGTTGGTTTTGACTCATAGCGACCCTGTATGGGGTTTCTAAGAATCGGTTAGTGGGTTTGAGCCACCTACCTTTTGATTATCAGTCCAGTGCTTCCCCGTATAGTACCATACCAGTAACATAGTTTTATGGACTTGAAAACATGTATGTTGTTGTTTGGTGCTGTCAAGTTGGTCCTGACTAAGAATGACCTTATGCACAACAAAACTTTGCCTGGTCCTGCAGCAACCTCACAATTGTTATTCTTGAGCCCATTGCTGCTGCATTTCCTTCAGTATTGCCAGTTGAGGCTTGAACTTTTTCTTCAGCTATTTCAGCTTGAGAAGTGCTGAGTGTGTTCTTCCTGTTGGTTTTCTAACTCCAGCTCTTTGTACATTTCATTATAATATTCAAATGAAAACCTATATAGATGTATGTAATTATCACCCATTTCAAGATACAAAACAGTTGCATCACCACTAAAATTCTCTCATGCCATGGGGTGGTGCTGTAGGATAAACACTACACTGCTAACTGCAAGATTGGCACCTCAAACCCATCAGCTACTCCTTAGAAATCCTACTCAGGACCACTGTGAATCTTGTTGTTAGGTGCCATCGAGTTGGTACCGACCCATAACGACCTTATGCACAGCAGAACGAAACACTGCCTGATCCTGGGCCAACCTCACTATTGTTGCCACGCTTGAGCCCATCAATGCTGCCAATTGGCCAATCCATCTCATTGGGGGTCTTCTTCTTTTCCTCTGATCCTCCACCTTACCAAACATGATATCCTTCTCTAGCGAGTGGTCCCTCCTGACAATATGCCCAAAGTATGAGAGACGAAGTTTGGTCATCTTGCTAAAGGGTCATCTTACTCTAGACTCCTTATTCACTGTCCAACTTTCGCATGCATACAAGTTTATTGAAAATAACATCCCACTCTGAGCCACTACAGCTCACATACACTCTTTAGCAAGGTGCCTACTCTTGTTCAACTATATCCAGTAGCTTAAGGATTGAATTGTTAGGGAAGAGGTTTTGTCTGTTTTAACACTTAATTGTTTTCTCTAGTAAGAGTGAGTCTAGAGTACTTAAAAAAAAAAAAGATCTTTGTGTTAGGGGGTCATACCCTACGTCCACCAATGAAAATCACATCTATTACTCATCTCTATAATTTTGTCTTTTTAAGAATGTTACATAAATGGAATTATATGCAATTTTTAAAAACATTTTTTCAGCATAAGGCTGTAAAGACTAACTCGTTGCATACATTTATTTTTATTGCAGAGTAGTTATTTCATTGTATGGATGTAATAGTTTATCTACACATTCATAATGAAGATTATTTGGATTGTTTTTCATTTTCAGCAGTTATGCAGAGAACTGTTATAAGCATTTAAATAAAGACTTTTATGAGAATGTAAGTGTTTATTTCTTTAGATACTTAGGTGGGATTGCTGGGTCATATGCTAAGTGAACGTTTCACTTTATAAGACACTGCCAAAGTTTTCACGTGACTGTATTAACAGTAATGAGTGAGAGCTGCACTTCCTTCATATCTCCTTGCCAGCACTTGGTACTGTCAATATTTTTCATTTTAGCTATTCTCATATTATGTGCTAAAGATTTCCCAGCAGGGTATGGTGGCAAAGAGCCATTTGCTAGCTGAAAGGTTAGTAGTTTGAACCTACCCAGAAGTGCCTTGGAGGACACACCTGTTAATCTGTTTCTGAAAGGTGATAGCCTTGAGAACCCTGTAGAGCAACTGTACTCTGCATACATGGGGTTTCCTTAAGTCAGAATTAACTTGCCAGCAAGGAACAGTACAGAGGGTTGGTTAATTCATTATGTTTTTAGGCTGTTTCTCCAGTGATTAAGGATGATGTACATCATTTCATGTGCTTATTAACCATCCATAAAATCTTGTGAAGTTGTTCACATTTTTTACACATTTGAAAAATCAAGTTGTTTTCTTACTGTTGAATTTTAAGAGTTCTTTGTAGATTTTGGATGCAAATCCATTGTTGGCTGTTATTTGTAGTTTGGCTTTTTTCCCTCTTCAGCCTGTAGCCTGTATTTTGCAAAGCAAGTTTTTGTTTTAAATGTTGATGAGTCAATCATTTCTGTTTAATTATGCTTTTGATTTCATATCTAAGAACTCTATCTAATTCCAGGTCATTTTTTGCCAGTCATTTCTAAAAGATTTTATGTTTTACATTTAGGTCTATGATCCATTTTAAATTAAATTTTGTATAATGTGTGAGGTTTAAGTGGATTTTTATTTAACACATATGGATAATGAGGTTTTTCAGAATCATTTACTGAAAATACTATTCTATTTCCATGGTAATGTCATTGCACGCTGTCAAAATTCAAATTATTTGTTTTAAATTTATTAGTTTTGTGGCCCAGTTCTACTTTATAACACAGGGGGTTACCATGAGTCTGAACTGACTTGACAATAGTTGTATCTGTTTTGAATAACAATTGTTAAGTGCTGTCAAGTGGGTTATGGCCCTGTATGGGTTATGACCCTGCATAATTTATAAGGAGCAGATGGTGGGTTTGAACCACTGACTTTGTGGTTCAGTCCAGTACTGATCATACAGCACTATACCAAGAGTCCAAATAACCACTGTTGTTGTTGCATAGCGATGAGTTGGTTCTGACTCATAGTGACCCTGTATAGGGTTTCCAAGGAGTGGCTGGTGAGTTTGAACCACCAACCTTGAGGTCAAGTGTTTAACTACCATTGGTGATAGTGGTTATGTGCTGTGGAGTTGGTTTTGACTCATAGTGACCAGTATATGGTTTCTAAGGCTGTAAATCTTTATGGGAGCAGAAAGCCTCATCTTCCACCCACTGGTAGTTTTGAACTGCTGACCTTGAGATTAGAAGCCTGACTCGTAACCATGCCACCAGACCTCCTACCACACCATTGTTGTTAAGTGTCATCGAGTCAGTTCTGACCCACAGCGACTATGTATAGGGTTTCTGAGGAGTGGCTGGTGAGCTTGACCCACCAAAGTTGAGGTTCAAACAACTTTGCAGTTCAGATTAACCCACAGCATCATGCCAGGATTCCATCACACTATTAGAAAGAAAATAGTTAGGTAATGGCCATACTACACAGATTTTGTTTTTTGCCACGCATCTTAACTTTGTTTTTGTTGAAGTACTGTCAAATCGGTTCTGACTCATAGCAATCCTATGTATGGTTTCTAAGAAGCACTGGTGGGTTTGAATCACTGACCTTGAGGTTAGTGGTGGTGGTGGTTATGTGCCGTGGAGTCGGTTCTGACTCAGTGACTCTGTACAGAGTTTCTGAGACTATAATGTCTCTATAGGATCAAAAAGCCTCATCTTTCTCCCGCAGAACAGCTGGTAGTTTTGAACTGCTAACCTTGCAGTTCGCAGCCTGATTCATAACCACTACGCTACCAGAGCTCCTTTGAGGTTAGTAGTCCAGTACTCATTCTACAATGCCATACCAGGACTGCTATTGTTAAGTACTATCAAGTTGCTTCTGACTCAGCAAGCTTGTGTAGGGTTTCCAAGGAGCAGATGGTGGGTTTTAACTGTCAACCTTGCTGTTCAAACTGTGGTCCAGTGCGTATCCTACAGCACCAACCAAGACTGTTGTTTTTAAGTGCCATCAAGTCAGTCTTGACCCATTGTTGTGAAGTGCCGTGGAGTCGGTGCCGATCCATAGCAACCCTGTATAGGGTTTCCGAGGAGCAGCTGGTGAGCTTGAACCGCCGACCTTGCAGTTCAAATTTACTTTGCAGTCCAGCACATTGACCCACAGCACCACACAAGAACTCAAGCACTGTTTAAATATTACTGAACAAAAGGAGCTGTTATCAAATTACCAATATAATCAAGTAAGTAAAACAAAACCACCCAGCAACTCAGTGTATTTCAGTAACTTTATTGAAAGGGATATCCCTTAATAATATAATGGTAATTTTGTTAGGTTACCTATGCTAATTGAAAATTAACACTGATGTATTCAAATATTGAAATGTATCAGCCATTTAGGAAAACTGAAAACTTATCCACAAAACATAGTTTAGAAAATTTAAGATATATTGTGGCTCTTTGGCATATTTTTCCGTGCATATTTGTCCATAAATATCTGTAACATGATGTCAAACGTAATATGAGTTGGTTACAACCGTTTTGGATAGTCTCAGGCTGCACAATGAATTTGGTAACTGTTTTCAGTGCTTTCACGGTTGTTGTTAAGTACTTTCAAGTCGATTCCAACTCACAGCGACCCTGTACAGGGTTTCCAAGGAACGGCTGGTAAATTTGAACTGCCGATCTTGTGGTTCAAACCAAACTTGTGGCCCAGTTTTAATCCCAAAGCACCACAGCAGGGCTACCTAAGCTACCTTATGCCTATTTACTTTCTTAAGATTTTATTTTGGCACACTTGTTAAGTGCCATCAAGTTGGTTCTAACAGTGACACTATAGAGGGTTTCCCAGGAGCGGCTTGTGGGTTTGAATCACCGATCTTGTGGTTAGCAGTCCAGTTCTTATCCTACAGTGCTACAGCAGGACTCTCATTTTAGCACAGTGGGGGCATTTAGTAAGAATATACTTTGTTCCTTTTACACAAAATTCTCAGAGGAAATGGCAGTTTTATAAAAACAGTCCTTAGTAAAAATTTCTGGAGTGTTAAATCTAACCTCAACTTGCATTAATAGGATAAGGCAATTTTGATTCTCAATGGGACTAGATTGAGGCAGTAGATTCTGTATAAAAAACCTTTAAATCATAAATACAAGTATCTCCTCTTCTCTAGAAAATCTATTGAAGATAATGAGTATGTCACACTTACCAAGTCTATTATTTTTGTTTTATATAAAAAAGCCTTCAAATATAATTGCTAGATAGCAATGAAGTCCACATATCTGCATTATGTACTTGCATCATGGATACCAAGAAACCATTTATGCTGTCTTGAATGGTAATCCTTAATATGTTCTAAAAGTGTATTTGTAAAATAATTAGTTTTGATATAAGCCTCATAATATAATCACACTTAAGTTGACTTAGCTTATATAGGTTACTATTTCAATACCACCTAAACATATTGATCCAATATAGAAATTTAGGTCAGTGTTAAAAATAAAGATTCACAGTTTACCACCCCAGGCTTATCATTACAGTTTCACATTTATATTCTTAGCTTAGATTTGTATGCATCACAGGTGAATTCAAGTCTAAATATAATTCCACTATAGCATAATATTAAGTAGTCAGTTTCCCTAATCTGAGAACAAATTCAGTTGAGATGTTTTGAGGTTTCACAGTTTAAATCCATTCTAACTATGAATTCCATCACTCAAGGTTGTAGAAAAAGGCTTCAGAGAAGAGTTTTTTGTTGCTGTAATAATCCTATTTAAACAAACAAACAAAAACCAAGTTACCAGAAATCAGTGAAACATAAATTTACTAACTTAATATTTAAGATTCAAAGTCATATCATAAATGTTGTTGTTAAGTGCTGTTGAGTCATATCGACAAATGTTAACATTTAGTATTAAGGAGAAAAACCACTGTGAGTTAGTCATTTAGATGGCAAAAAATGCAGAGGCCAGGCTTACATTCTTTATGCATACAACTACTTTCCAGTAGTCTAACTGCAATAACAATGATATGCAGCTTCAGTGTTGAAATGCCTTGGCAATTTCCAAAGACCTAACATAGAGACCATGAGACATATCTTACTTTTTAAGTAAGTTCTACTGATTTTGATAACAAATCTCAAATTAGTGTTTCAAGCTTCTAGTCATGTTGCCCAACTCAGGCTTGTGTAGCTGATAATTTAATGAAATGAATAATACACATATCACAGGTTGGAAAATTCCTTATTCTTAGCATGTTATACTGTGTGGAAATGTCAAGTGCTGTCAAGTCAATTTGGATTCATAGTGACACCCCATATAGGGTTTCCAAGGAGCAGCTGGTGGGTTTGAACCATTGACCTGGAGGTTAGTAGTCCAGTCTTTATCCTATAGTGCCACACCAGGAGTCCATGTATATAAATAAATGTCTTCACATACTAAGGGCCTTCAAAAAGTTTGTGGAAAAATAGAATGAAATGATGATAAATTTCTTCCATTAACTTTTTGAAATCATCTTATATTTTTCATGTCTAGAAGTTCAACAAAACACTGCCTTGTCTGTGGCATCCTCACAACTGTTATGTTTGAGCTTTTTGTTGTGGCCACTTTATCAGTCCATCTCATTGAGGGTCTTTCTGTTTTTCACTGATTCTCCAATTTACCAAACACAATGTCCTTCTCCAATGACTGGGCCTTCCTGACAACAAGTCCAATGTATAAGAGACAACGTTTTACCATAGTAATGCCAAGGAACAATCTGGCTGTACTTATCATAAATTAGTGAAGTCATTTCTTCCCTTTTGCTATCCCAACTATATTTTGTTTACTTTTAAAATAATAATTCAGATTTTAATTCTCCAATTAATAGCATTATCGAATTTTCTCTTTGGAGAATTAAATAACTATGAATTAATTTTACCGATTAAGGGACTGCTTCAGGAATTGTTGGAAGGTGGGTTATCTTATAGTAACTATGTTTCAACTGCCTTGCAGTTCGTCCAGAAACAATCCATTTGAGCTTCTGAACATTTGGTTTGGAACATTTGTTTGATGAATATTCTGTTATACACTTGGAGACGAGTTCTTGCCAGAAGGTCAAATCTCTGCCATTTATCTGAAAATAGATAGTTAAAATTACTCAAAAGTCCTACAGTATTAAGATACAGTAACAAATGCAATTCTATTAATGTGTCTTTGTTTTTTAAAAAAGATAAGCAACTTAAGTTTCAAATAAACACATGACTTCTCACTTTAGGAGATAGTCCAAGTGATTTAGTTTCTAAGTGTTAATAGATTTAAGCTATGACCTTGACATACCTTGGAATGTTTCTGAAGACATTCTAGTTTTTCTGTTAATTGTACACACTTCTGTGATTGGATCTCCAATGCAATGATAGATAATGACAACACAGAGGGCTGAAAGAGATCAGTTTTAAGTAAATATCAAATATAAAAATAGGTATGTATAAATAAATAGGTTTAATCTTTATAAAATTACCTTTGCTTTAGAAAATATGATCCTGCAGTGGCATGCTTTAAGTTGAGCTTCTAGTCTTTCAAAAGTAAGGCTATTTCTCCTTTAAAAAGAAAATTAGGTTTATTTGATGCAGTTAATTGTACACCCATTATTACTGTTGAGTCAGATCCAACCCAGCAACCCTATGTAGGGTTTCCAAGAAGCAGCTGGTGAATTTGAACCGCTGACCTTGCAGTCCACTGCATTATCCCACAGCACCACAGTACACTTAGGCAAATGATAAATTTGTGAAAAATACATGTCATTTATAAGGTAAAGATATATACATGTATCAGAGGAAAAATAAATTCAAGTAAAGGAATTGTTTCTTCAGCAACATAACTTCTAAGGACTATATACATGAGCCAATAAAAATAGCAGGTTAGCAGTACCTGGCTTTGTTGTTTAACTTCACAAGAGGAAGGAGAGAGCATCATTATAAAATAGCAGTGGTCCAAGGCTGAATCCTATAGAGAGGAGGTCTGACATAACTCCTCCTCTCCAACTTTTTAGCCAATCTGATAACCAGCCATCCATCTCGTGGCACTCTACTGCTCTGCTGGGTTTGGTGTTTTATTGCAGTAGGCACACACAACTCACAGACAATATTCAGGATTATAGGGCTTATCAGGGAAGTAATTGGCTAAAGTAGGAATCACAAACAACTCAGGATACAGTTCTTCAAATCTTCTCAGCCATGCCCACAGGCAGGGCTCTCTCTAGCCCTTGGGTTGGGCAAGTATTACAGAGCTCTTTAGCTGTATCAGTAAACTTCAGCTTGAAGGCAATCAGCTCTTACTCTGGGTTGGCAAGCCTACGTCTGCTGACAAGTGACCAGCATCATATGACAGCATGCCAGAAAGTCTGCCTTTCCTCAGCTCTCTAGCTTTGTGGGGTGGTGTGTACTTTCCAGTATAGACTTAAGAAGTTCACTGCTCTGTCTCACACTGATTCTCCTAGGTCTTGTGCTTCTACTTTTTGCCATCTTGCAATATTTCTAGTGTTATAGCTTTCTCTGTCCTTAGGGTTTTAGAAGGTTCTCACACAGGTACCTGTGTCCAAAGAATGTGCTTAGCTTCGTCTCTTCCTCTTGGGGATGAGGTCCCCACTCTGCTCTAACATTGACTTTCTTTTAAACCATAAGTTAATTGCCTTTGAGTTGGTTCTGACTCAGTAACCTTGTATAGGGTTTCCGAGGAGTGGTTGGTATGTTTGAACCATTGACCTTGCAGTTCAAACCAACCTTGTGGTCCACTGCTTATCCTACAGCACTACACCAGGCCTCCACTTTTAAACCCAGTGAATGGCAAAATTAACCAATCCCCTCAATAGGGTTCTATATAAATTATTTGCATGGTTCCACCACCACAAAAGTAACACACACCTTATTTGCATTACTAGGAAGCTATCCTGATGTGGCGCTGTGGATTAATGCACCAGACTGCAAAGTCGTTTGAATTGAAAGGTCGGCTGTTCAAGCTCACCATTCGCTCCTTGGAAACCCTATATAGGCTTGCTATGGATCGGAACTGACTCAACGGCACTTAACAACATCCTGGTATAGTGCTCTAGGATAAGCACTGGACTCTGAACCACAAGGTCTGCAATTTAAACCCACCAGCTGCTTCTCAGAAACCCTATATAGGGTTGCTCTGAGTCAGAACAATAACAACATCAATTCCCCTTAGTGGTCACAATCATCTTATTTGCATAATCCTACCCAATCACTTGGAGTCCAGGTGTGGCTCTGTGCGTTAATGTACTATACTGCAAATCTGTTTGAACTGCAAGGTTGGCAGTTCAAGCTCACCAGCTGCTCCTCGGGAAACCCTATGCAGGGTCACTATGGATCGGAACCGACTCAAGAGCAGTACACACCAGCACCACCAACAACAATCACCCAATCACTTGGAGAGAGATACAAGACCATGGCTAAAAAGCCATATAAATGTTATCTATCATACTGTAAAGATGCAGTCATTTTACTTATTTTGACTGGAATCTTACCAGATTTTATGCAACAACCAAAAATACCATTCTGATATACAAACTTTCTTTACTTAAAACAAAGATCACATACCTTTCAAATGGTAAGCTCTCTTGAATGAGTGAATAATAGAGTTGCAGAAACTGAAAGGCAGTAGTAGCTTTAACTTTCCAACACACCTTCTCCAATACAATCTTTTCCATTCTCATCAAGTCAGAAACTGTGAACTTATACTGGCTTATTCTGATCAAGTCATTTGCCAGTGGGACATTCCTCTCTTCTTCTATTGATTTTACAGCCAAGTAGAAGCAGCTCAGTCCTACACATCCGAGGTGCTTGGACTGTACCTAAAAAAATAATAATTTTAACATTCTCATGTATTCAATCTAAAAAAAAAAAAAAAAATGGATGAAAACTCAAAACATAACGAAAATGTATATTTGAGTTGTATTTGTCAACTGTGATGGACTTAGATAAACTCACCGATCAATTGTAGCCTGTCAACCTATGTACCCCACCCCATTTGGAACACATTTTTCAGTAACTGAGTTTCAACATATTTGGACTCCATGTAGAACAATTCTCACTATTTTCTATCACTGTAGAACTGTAAACAATGTTTCAATTTGACCAACTAAATAACTTCCAGGATGTTATGTCTTTTCCAACCTGGTTTTTTTTTGGTAATAACACAAGAAAAAAAAACATTCTTAAGTACAATAACACATTGTTTACTTTGCTTTAAAGACCCATCCACTACTAAACTCTATTTTCTGAATGTGTATAATGTATCAGGCACAGTCAAAATTCTGTCTAGTCTTTACGGTCCAGCTCCAATGAAAGCAAAGAATATATTTTTTACTAATATCTATGTTTTTTCTCTTCTTCTTGGAAGCCCTTCAGCTATAATTATATTTCTTGTTGTGTCTTATACTGTTAGGATAGTTATCAGTGTAACCGTCTTATTCCCAAATTATTGTTAGGTGCTGTCAAGTATGTTCAGACTCATACACTGCCTGGTCCTGCGCCATCCTCACAATCATTGTTACGTTTCAGCCCAATACTGCTATCTGTGCCAATCCATCTCCTTGGGGGTAGTCCTCTTTTTTGCTGACCCTTCACTTTACCAAGCGTGATGTCCTTCTCCAGGAACTGGTCCTTCCAATTCTTTTATGGTTTCCAAATTTGACATGCATATGCAACTATTATACCATAACTTAGGTCAGGTGCAGCTTACTCATTAAACAGACATCTTTGCTCTTAAAAACACTTTACAAAAGTCTTGTTCAACTTAAGACATTGACTACCTAAAATGCGGGGAAATAAAGGGCATGAAGTGACTGGCTTAGAGAGGGAGTTTGGTTTAACAGTGTGCAGGGGAAGATAGTAGTCCCTACTGAATAGTTTTCATCTTGTCTACTTGGATCTGGTGAAAAGAGATGGAGATAAGATTCTTATGATTCAATAGTAATTGTTATCATGACTAATTGCAACTATTACAACTGTAAAGGTAGAGGTTTAGTAATACAAACAGTGAAGTAGTTAATCATACAGTCCAGAAACAGAGGACTGTAGGACCATCAAGGAAGAAGAGCACAAGCAGAATGCAGGACCCTATCCAGAGAAGCAGCGACACCAGCGATGGAAGCAGAGATGAGAACATGGACAGAGGGAGTAACTGAGGACTCTAGATTCATGGAAAGAGAAGGACTGAGTGCTGGTAGCCAGGAGGCCGGCTTGCAGAATGTGCCCTTTGGTTTTTAAATTATTATATATTCCTGAGTGTTTTTGTGTACATCTCCCCCGCCCCCCCCACACACACCCAAAAAAATAGAGGGAAAAGAAACAAATACTGTTGAATGATAATGGACAGATGAGATTGTAATCATTGCAATGAAACGAAGGTGTAAAGCTGATGTTGATGTTCTCCCATGTAAACTATCACTCAGTTCACACACACAAAGTCAGTATGTTAAAAAAAAAGAAAAATCTTGTGCAGCAATTTGATTTCTTGACTGCTGCTTCCATGAGTGTTGATGGTTGATTCGAACAAAATGAAGTCTTTGACAACATCAATCTTTTCTCTATTTATCATGTTAGTTATTGGTCCAGTTGTGAGGATTTTTGTTTTTAGATTGAAGTACAACCCATGGTGAAGTCTGTGGTCTCTGATCTTCATCAGTAAGTAGTAAATCCTCTTTGCTTTCAGCAAGAAAGGCTGTAACATCTGCGTATCGCCAATTGTTAATGAGTCTTCCTCCAATCATGATGCCATGTTCTTCTTCATATAATCCAACTTCTTGGATTATGTGCTTAGCATACAGATTGAATAAATATGGTGAAAGAATACAACCCTGGCACAGACCTTTCCTGGTTTTAAACCATTTAGTGTTCCCTTGTTCTGTTTGAACAGCTGCCTCTTTGTCTATGTGCAGGTTCCTCACGAGCACAATTCAAGAATACCCACTCTTTGCAATGTTATCCATAGCAGTTGAAAGCCTTTGCATGGTTAATAAAGCATAAGTAAACATCTTCTTGGTATTCTTTGCTTTCAGCCAAGATCCATCTGATGTCAGCAATGATATCCCTCGTTCCATGTCCTCATCTGAATCTGGCTCAAACCTCTAGTCCATTCAGTGTACTGTTGCAGCTATTTCTGAATTATTTGCATGTGACATTTACATATTGTTGTTAAGTGCCATCACATTGGTTCCTATTCATAGCGACCCTATAAAGGGGTTCCGAGGAGTGACTAGTGGGTTTGAACTGCCAACATTGTGGCTCAAACTGACCTTACAGTCCAGTGCATTACCCTGAAGCGCTGTGTTGCATCAGTTTTAACTTGTAGCATCACTGTGAGGCAGTGACACTCTATCCACCAATGACCATAGGTATACTGAGTTGGCAGATGCATTTTCTAACAGATAAATTCTGAGAGTTATGGATATCCTGCTTATCCATACAGGGAAATGATTATTGAAATGCTACTCCTTGAGAATATACTCTCTTGTCTACTGCATGCAAACTGATGCTGAAAATATAAAATATAAACAGGGCTTGACTCAAACATATAACTTTATATTTAGATAGTGATTAAGAAATACACTCAAATCCTTAATCACAATTTAGGTCTCTTATGTTTCTTGAATCCCAAAACAAATAAAAATACCAAACCTATTCTACTACTGGGAAATGCTATTTTATATTGACTATTTTTCATCTCAAAATTTGTCTAATAAATGATGTAATACCCTTGATTTATAAGGAAAAAGTCATCAATGCACATAGAATTATCATGTTTCAGCTACCTGTTGTAAAGGAAGGTCAAGTTAGACAAAAGCTAACACAAAGTAAAAACACATTAATCAGAATTAAATATTCATGATCATGTAGCTTTAACATACCTTCATTTTGGACAGAAACCTGTCCAATAAATTCACAGCTAGAGAAAATGTTTCCGTTTCAAAGCCAAAGAACTGAGTTAGACTAAGAAGATCTTTTACTTCAAAGTCTCTTAATCTTGCAGTCATTCTGAGGCCATTATCATGAGCAGACTCAATTAGTCTCAAGCCGAAGACCTTTGGCTGACATCTAGACTCCTGTTCCAGCAGGGCATTCAGCTGGTGTAGCGGTTTCTGAGCATCAGTGGTTGTCAGTACTTCTATCATCTATATATAGAACAAAACACAGACAGGAGTGTAAGAATAGCCCTCCCTGCTTTCTTTGTCATCGATATTGTGCCAAGAAGTACTATATATAACTCAAGTCTCCTCCCACCCCCAGGCTGATAGTGAAATTAGTGCCATATATCATGTTTCCCTCTACCATAAACTGCAGATTCCTGGTGGTGGTGGTGGTGGTATCCGCGGGGGAGGCAAAAAGCCTCATCTCTCTCCCATGGAATGGCTGGTAGTTTCAAACTGCTGACTTTGAATTTAGCAGCCTGACTCGTAACCACTACGCTACCAGGGCTAGAGGGCAGGAATCCTGCTTTCTCCTTAAATTGCAAATCTTCAAGAAATATTTGTTCAAAGCATTCAGTGCTATAGAGCCGGTTCTAACTTATAAAGACCCTGTATAGGGTTCCCAAAGGAGTTCTGGTAGCGTACTGGATTACAAGCTGAGCTACTAATCACAAGGTCAGCAGTTCAAATCTAACAGCCGCTCCGCAGAAAAGATGAGTCTTTCAGCTCCCGGAAAGATTTACAGCCTCGGAAACTCTATACAGGGTCATTATGAGTCGCAACGGATTCCATGGCACATAGCCACCACCACAACAGTTTCCAAGGAGTGGATGGTGAATTTGAATTGCCAACCTTAAACTGGCCTTGCGGTCCAGAGCTTTATCCCACAGTGCCACACCATGATTCAATAGATAACATTTAACAGTCTAGATAAAAAGAACTTTGAAATGAGATGGTATGTATTCTGCCATATATAAGCAATTTGTTAAGTTTCATATTTTCTGAGCCTTATTTCCTCATAAATGTGTGTGCAATACACAAAAATCATAGGCAAAGAGCTCAGCACATACGTTATTGTTAAATGCCGTGGAATTGATGTGACTCATTGCCACCCTGTATAGGGTTTCTGAGGAGCAGATGGGTGGGTTTTAACTGCCAACTTTGATCGAAGTCCAGTGCCGATTCTACAGCGCTACTTGTGCTTAATAAACACGGGATGATAATAACGAGCTTAATTTTACATTTGCAAAATGAGGGTAACAATACCTACTTTTTGAAATGCTGTGAAGATTACACAAGATGATTCATGCAGTTTAGCACAGTGCTTGGCACACAGTTAACACTAATTGTTAACTTTCACTGATGCTAGGAAAGGAAGTTTAAAGGGGGCTATGGAAGTATGTGTGGCTCTGTAGGGCAAGCACTGGACTGCTAACGCAAGGTCGCCAGTTCAAACTCACCCATGAGGTGCTCTTGGAAACCCTATAAAGGGTCTCTATGAATCAGAACTGACTCAATGGCACACAGCAACAATGGGAGTACCTAGTAGAGAAACTAATCTAGTCTTCTAGATGAACCTGGGAACTTCATTCATTAAGATTGCATTACATTGTCTGCTGTGTGCTGGGCACAAGCTAAAGGCTAGGTAGTTGGACATCCCATCCCTCTCCAACTGAAAGACAGGACAACTGAAAGCGTTGGACAATCAAAGAGAGGGCAGATGAGGCACCAGAACTTTTTTGGCCCGGGCTCGTCCCTAGGACCAGGAGGACACTGACACTACCCCCAGTGAAGACGGATCTGGCCCCGCCCCACCATGCTCCGACAAGTCTGGGCTTGTCCTCACTCACTGAGTGAGCGTAGAGGAAAAGGGTGTGGGGCCAGGGATCTCCTCTCACTCTGCGACCTCAACCCTGCTCCCTACCCGTACCCTCTAGGTCAAGCCCGCACTCCCACCTCACCGTGATCGCGACTGCAGCTCCTCAGCAGTAACTACCCTCCCCGGGCCTGCTCGCACCTCACCCCACGGTATTAGGTCCGAGAGGCCTAAGAGGTGAGGGGGCTTGTGGGCAAGAAGGGAGAGGCCCGGGGAGGGGGGGGCCGTCCTGGGCGGAGGTCTCGGCAGCGCAGCCTAGATGAAACCACCTTCAGTCAAGCCTTACACCGAGTAGGAGTGGCTAAATTTGACCTCCCTAGTAATATGCTGAAGGGCGGGGCGTTCCTGCGGGGGAGCCCTAGTTTTATTGCTGATTGGTATAGTCCTGACGGATGGCTCACTTGGCCCAAAGAAGGTTGGTCCATCTAGGTAAAAGCCTGGCCAATCAGCACGCACCTTCTATTATAGCATGCGTCATTATCCGCCCCTTAAGACCACGCCCCCTTTCCTTAAGCGTGTTTCATTGGAGAATTTTACTAAGGGCTTCCATTCAAGAAGAGACCTAAGGAAATTAACTTTTACACTCACCAACCCTAGTCTGGGTCAGATCTCCGCCGCAAACCGGATTGAACAGGATTTAGTTCCAGAATGTACTGGGAGTTTCTGTTCCATACTTTAGTTGTACATTGGTTCTGCCTCCTTCTTTCTAAAAATAGACTATTTCAAAAGACGTCAAGTCTTCATTTCTTATTACAGATGCAGAGATATAGGGTTTTCTATGGTGTGATTTATTAAATCATAGAACTCTCTGTGGGTGAACTTTAGAAATCAATTGATTCCTTCCTAATTTTTGTTTTTTGTTTGATTTTATCAAAGAAAGGAGTTGGGCTACTTTGGTCCTTTTCCAGTTTTGGAAATTTTATATTTAAACAAGTTTAATAGAAAACCAGATGAGTTGTTTTCAAATGGGTTCAAATGAAAGGTGTGTGTCTGCCTGTTAAAAATAAATAATAATAATGGAAATATGTACAAAATAGTATAAAATAAATACAAAAGGTATGTACAAGATGTATGCAAAATAAATATTTACAAGATAATCGTGAGTATAATCTCAGACTGCAAATCAGTATGTATTGTTATTCTTTTTGTTACTGTAAATGAATTTAATCTCTGAATACGAGATTTCCATAATGGAAAAATAGCCTGAATCCTTCTTGTATTTTTTCCTTCTGATTGTCAAAAGTGAAAAGGCTTGAGGAGGGGTCTGCAGTGAATCTTTTTAGCTCTTGAAAATGGTAGTTAAATTTTCAAAGCCCACATGGTGTGACGCTGTAGAGTAAGCACTGGACCGCAAGGTCCATTTGAAACTCAAGGTGGCGGTTCAAACCCACCAGCCACTCCTGGGAAACCTTATACAGTGTCTCTATATGAGTCAGAAAGGAGCTCTGGTAGCGTAGTGGTTACGAATCGGGCTGTGAACCTCAAGGTTAGCAGTTCAAAACTACCAGCTGCTCCGCAGGAAAAAGATGAGGCGCCTCGGAAACCCTGTTCAGGGTCGCTATGGGTCGGAATCAACTCGAGGGCACTTTAACAACAACAACAAGGAGTCGGAACCTACTGGGCGGCACTTAACATCAACAACTGGGCTTTGAAAAACTGGAAAATTGGAAAGATTTGCTGATGTGGTGTTGTAGGACAAGCACTGGAGGAAGCAAGGTTGGGTTGAACCACGACTTCTGCGGTTCAGACTCATCAGCAGATCCTCAGAAACCTTATACGGTGTTGCTATGAGTCGGAACCGACTCCACGGCCTTTAACACCACCAGCTATGACTTCTCTTGGGGCAATGTCACAGTACCAGCCCTGGAAATGGGGAAAGAAAAACCTTGGAAATAAACTTATCCAATGCTGAAACGTAACAATTGTGAGGATGGCACGGGATCAGGCTGTATCTTTTCTGCTGTGCATAGTGTCATGCACTATGAGTCAGAGTCGACTCAATGGCACTTAACAACTACAACTAAATTTTGTTATTGTTAAATGCTGTTGAGTCAGTTCTGATTCTTAGCGGATCCGTATAGGGTTTCCAAATAGCAGCTGGTGGATTTGAACTGCGCACCTTGTGGTTAGAAGTCAGATGCTTACCCTAGAGCACCATACCAGATAACTTTATTTTCTTGGTGTGATGTTATAGTATAAGCACTGGACTGCTAACCACAAGGTCAACAATTTAAACACAGTCGCTCTTTGGAAATTCCATATAGGATCAATGTGAGTCTGAATCAACTGGGGGGTACTTAACAACAACAATGAATATAAATTGGTAATTTATAACAAAATTAATTTTATTCTAAAATGCTTTAATGATGCATGTATTTAAAAAGGTACATTATAAGTATTATATGGAGCTCTGGTAGCGTAGTGGTTATGAGTCAGGCTGCTAACCTCAAGGTCAGCAGTTTGAAACTACCAGCCGTTCCTAAGGCTTTCTGCTCCCGTAAAGATTTACAGCCTTGGAAATCCTATACAGGGTTGCTATGAGTCGGAACTGACCACAGCACACCACTATATATATACAAAAACACTAGAGTCCTGGAGTGGCGCTGTGGGTTAATGCTCTAGACTGCAAAGTCAGTTTGAACTGCATGCAAGGTTGGTGGTTCAAGCTCACCAGTAGCTCCTTGGAAATCCTCTAGAGGGTTGCTATGGGTCGGAACCGACTTGACAGCATTTAATAACAACAATATACACACTATTTTTTAAGTGGCTTACAAACCATTGACATTTCTATGTAATGAAATGATACAATGCTGTTGTTGTTATTAAGTGCCTTCAAGTCAGTTGTGACTCATAGCCATATAGTGTTTCTGAGGAGATGTTCAAATCGCCTTTGTGGTCCAGTGTTTATCCTACAGTGGCGTACCAGGACTCAAATTATGCACTGTTGTTGTTGTTAAGTGCCATTGAGTTGACTCTGACCCATAGCAATCCTGTATAGGATTTCTGAGGAGCAGCTGGCGAGCTTGAACCGCAAACCTTGAAGTTCAAACGGCTTTGCAGTCTAGCGCATTAACCCAGAGCACCACACCAGGACTCCAATGATGCACTAGTTCACTAGTTCATTTATTGGCACATTCTCTGTGTCAGTGTCAGTGGAGAAAAAAATGGACGAGTCTCTATTCTTATGAACATTTAGTCTTGTGGACAATATAAATATCTAGCCTTTGGAACAAAATCCAGAAATGGTTACTACTAACTAGCTATATGACTTTCAGCAAGTTATTTATTTAATCATTTTGACTTTACATTTTCTTTTCTCAAAAAATGAAAGTGATAATACCTTATTTTGTTGTTGTTAGGTGTTCTTGAGTTGCTTCTGACTCATAGTGACCTTATGCACAACAGAGCAAAACACTACCCAGTCCTGACCAACCTCACAATTGTTACTGCTGTTATTGTACCCATCTGTCTCATTGGAGGGTCTTCCTCTTTTCTGCTGACCTTTCCACTTTACCTAGTGTGATGTCCTCCAGGGACTGACTGGGCCCTCCTGATAGATGTCCAAAGTATGAGAGACAAAGTCTGGCCACCCTCTTTTCTAAGAACCATTCTGGTTGTACTTCTTCCAACACAGAATTGCTTTTCCATCAGTCCACGGTACTTTTAATATTCTGCTCCAACACCATAACTCAAATGCATCAATTCTTACACAAGGTTATTGTTGTTAGGTGCCATTGAGTCATAGCGACCCCATGCACAGCAGAACGAAACAAAGTCCGATCCTGGGCCAACCTCACTACTTCTGCCACACTTTCATCCATCAATGCTGCCACCTGGCCAATCCATCTTGTTGGGGGTTATTAAGAGGATTAAATAATTCAGAATACATCAAGAGCTACACACTGAGTCCAGAACACAATGAATACTTGATAAATGGCAACCTTTGTTACTAAGTTAAGGAGCCGTGGGGCACAGTGGTTAAGCACCAGACCAGTAATTGAAAAGGTTGTAATTTGAACCCATCAGCCACTTAGTAGGCAAAAGATGGGTCAGTAGGCTTCTCTAAAGATTAAGTGCTTTGAGTCAGTTCTGACTCATATCGACCCAGTACAGGGTTTCCAAGAAGTGGCTGGTGAATTTGAACTGCCAACCTCGCAGTTCAAAACCACACTGTGGTGTGCCACTGTCCCTGTTCGTAGGGAAATTCCTAATTGTTTCAGTTCCCTTTAACCTCAGAGGAGGGGTGATGAGGCTTTTTGCTGTCCTTCCTCACACAAATGTCCAAGCACCTCACCCTCTGGTCACCATCACTGACAATTGTCAGAACTTTTTGATGTAGACTTGTCCAATTGTCTTGAGGGTTGAGGAAGTGAAGGTCAACAAGGGCTCCTTCCTCTCTACTTCCCGATCCTTCTGCAATTAGTTAATACAGACCCATCACCTTCCTAACTCTTCTCTAGTACATCTAATTGGTCATATTCATTTGAAGAAAATGTGCTTGGCAATAGAATTTTATTAGTCCCTGGAGTACCAGTATAATGTCCCTCACTGGCTCAAATGCCTTGCACTCAACTACTAACCCAAAGGTGGGTGGTTTGAACCCACTCAATGACATTATAGAAGATTGTTGTGGTTGTTGTTGTTAAGTGCCAATGAGTCGGTTCCAACCCATAGCGACCCTGAAGAGGGCTTCTGAGGCTGGAAATCTTTATGGGAGCAGAAAGCCTCATCTTTCTTCCATGGAGCTGCTGGTAGTTTCAAACTGATGACCTTGAGGCTCACAGCCCGATTGGTAACCACTATGCTACCAGAGCTCCTTATTATAGAAGATAGGCTTGGCTATATAATTCCGTAAATGATGACAGCCCCAAATAAGCCTATGGAGCAATTCTACTCTGGCACACAAGGGATTGTCACGAGTCAGAACTGACTTGTCACCAGTGGGTTTGGTGTTTTTTGTTTTGTTTTCCAGCAAAGGTGGGGGTATCAGTGAAATTGTGTACATTATAGAGGAGAACAGGAGGAGAATATATAGAAAACAGATGAATAATTTGAGTTATATCTCTCCTATTTAAAGACTCTACTCCTTAGAAGTCCTCGTGTAGCATTGTAGGATAAGCACTGGACTGCAACATCTGTTTGAACTGCAAGATTGGCAGTTCAAACTCACCAGCGGCTCCTCAGAAACTCTATACAAGGTCTCCGAACTGACTTGCTGGTACTTAATAACAACAACTATTACTCCTTAATTAACAAGATAAAGTTACTT